GTTTCTAGACTTTGTCTAAGATTAGGTCTTTTCTAAACAAAGTTATATGAGTTTACATAGATTTGTGAGTATAATGTGTCTGCAGTCATGAAGTACATGAAAGGGTACAGCCTACCTCTTAGTACAAAGACACGGGAACTAACCGTGGCAAGAATTATTGGTTTTTGACGCGCGTCGTCCACAGGGGAAGGGTGGTCTTTTTCGACGTTTGATCAAGTTTAATTATTGGCTTTAGAGGACATAAATGTCGTATGTGATAAGAACTAGCATGAGCGAACAGCTGACCACGGTACAGAATTATATCAATCATAGTGTATTTCAAATTAAAAGATGATTTATGCCCTGTTCGAGCGCATTTAGTAAAATATTCACTTAACATAGTTTGTATTTGACTTTCTAGTGAACGTTACTTTAGTTTCTAATCAGTCGTTATCACTCAGAATCAATATTGACTGATTGGTGAACTCACAATTCTACAGAGCTCACACAAGAGAGAATCATGTCTGAAATGGACGCGTGTCGACTGATGGTGGCGATAGCAGAAACATGACAAGACATAAATACACACACGGAGACGCGCCGGACCACAGCCACGCATACTCACTAACACACAAAAGTCTCTTTTCTTCCCACAAACACACACACACACACACACACACACACACACACACACACACACACACAGACGCATACACACACACACGCGCGCGCGCACGCGCTGGCGAGGTCTATGACTTAAGTTTTTGACGGACGAACTAATTATTAGAAGCTTTATATTTAATTAGATTCTTTTTCTAATGAGGGAAACGTCGCGAGATGAATGAATTGTTCAACGTAAATTGTCTTTATCAGCGACCCCCTCCCCCCCCCAACCCCCATTTTTTAATCGAATCTCCAACTCACACTGAACATCGGATATTAATTTTAATGAGAGCGTTAGCCCCAACACAGAGTTAAAGATCAAGGAAAGACCGCGTGTAACCTGGAAAAGTTGTAGAAACTGCTGTACAAAAAAGTGGAAAGACATGGAATAACACCAACTGGCTAACCGAGCGCAGGGAAATGTGTAAGGTATTTGTTCGTGGCCTATACCCTGTCAAGGTTGAGAAAGGCAATGATGATACTGATGATGCTAGCCCCAGGAATAAAAAGAGATGGTGGTTTACAGGTTTAGCATTGTGTTCTGTTGTGTGCCTTTCTGTGGCAGGGCAGGGGACGGTGTAGGCTGAACGTTCTGTCACAACTAGGTTGTCTCAGAAGTTGTACCTCTGATTCCATAGCCGTATGAGCAAAAAGACGGAAATGAGGAGGTGGGTGGTTGGAGGGTGCACTGGAGTGGTTTGCTCCTTGTTTCCTATCAAAACATATGTCATCAGTATCTCTCCTCCTTCTTTTTTTGAATCACCACAAATGATTTTCTGAACCTATGTGACCTAACTGTGTTGTAAGTGCCGTACAACTCTTTCTAAAACAAGGAGTCTTTAGAACTCAGTAGCAAGCAACAATTGTGTAGCCAAATCGTTTATATTGGTGTAGTAGTGTGTTGTGGAAAAAAAGTATGATAATGATAATGACGATGATGATAGGGCTAAGAAGAAGAAGAAGAAGAAGAAGAAGAAGAAGAAGAAGAAGAAGAAGAAGAAAAAGAAGAAGAAGGAGAAGAAGATGAAGAAGAAGAAGATGAAGAAGAAAATGAAGAAGAAATAATAACGATAATATTAGATATACTTTGATAGTTGAACCTCTTAATTTATTGTTTCGTATAATAATGCAGCTTATTTGCGTTAAAAATATCTACAAGTACCAGGATGAACAGTCTGTCATTCTGATTTTATTTTCTCTTATTTTAAGCTACCCAAGGGGCGGCTATATTATACTAAGCTATCATCTGCTCTTAAGCCAGTCATTCGATGACCATTACAAGCTCATCCCCGCTCGCTCCGGCATAAGCACACATTACCGATTGTATCCGTTCAATTACGAGGGCATGCTCAGAGGAGGATCGAAATTTATTGAACAACGTGTAAAGGGACATGGAGACATGAGCTGGATAAAAATGAGTGTCATAAAAGGCAAATAGAGGGAAGGAGATAGAGAACGGCCGAAAACAGCACTCATGTGGAGAGAATTAGAAGTTTTCGGACAAAAAAATAGGCAGATGATCACATTTAGGCAAACATCTAAATAATTTATCGCGAAAGAAAACTTATTGCATCAAAGAAATGCATTAGAGCGGAGTGCTAAAGTGGGATACAGAGTCCTGAAAGGCATCCTCCCGCAAACTTCCAACCCCAAAAATGCACTTTTGAAACTGTGGGAAACGCTTCTCTAACTCTGAGAATCAGCGTTGGATTGTGACAAAACACAGAAGGTCATCTGTTTTCTCCATATAGCTTGTTATCCTCATTTCTCAGTTTCTAAAGGATGGCTGTAAAGCTCTTTCAGTGTTTCTCTAAGCCTGCAGTAAAGGCTATTGTAGTTTGAACAACTTAACAAGGAATTCTAGACTTTTGGTTTCTTTTAGAAATTATCCTTTCCAACCATTCATGTTTCTATGCTTTATCAGAGACGAGTACAATCAAATTGGAGGATCTACTTTTTTTTAAAAAAGGAACGCCATAGATAAGTACCTGTATCGTTCTCTTTATGCTTCTTTTGTTGTCGTTGTTGTATTTTAATTGTTGGGGGGGGGGGTGGGGTTGTTGTTTTTGTTGTCGTTTTTGTTGTTGTTGTGTTGCTGTTGATGTTGTATTTGCCCGTTGTCTCAATTATCCAAAACTTTCTTTACAATTCTTTTTCAGCAGCCTGCACTGCATGACCACAATTGCAAGAACAATCTTCCCCCTCACCCATTCACCACAGACATTCATCTCTATATCGTAAATCAGTCCCTTAAAAAAACGTTTTCCTGTATACAAATATGCGAAACCCATTGACGAGAATTAACACCTTACAGCTGTCCAGGAAGACACGAACATTGGAATATCTACCCGAGAGAAATGATACGCTAGGAACTTGAAGGATATCATTACTTTTTGCCAAAGACGGATTTGGACCAAAATAAGTAAAGGCAGTCTGTCTCCAGTCTGGCCTGATGCTTTGGCTGCCTCCGACTTGCTCTGTGTGGCGGAGCTAATCCCCCCACGGGACGGGACTTTAATAGAACTTTATAAGATTTCACAAAAATACTAATTTGCTCAGATCAGCACCGGCGTGGGAAAACGCGGAGTTTTTAGATAGCATCAGGGGCAGGGCTAAGCATTCGCTTTTCGACTCCGGGATCATCTCCCGCTTTTTGTTTTTTCTCTCACTTTCTCTCGCTCTCTTTCTCATTCTTTCTCTTTCTCTTTTTTCTCATTCTCTCTCTCTTTCTCTCTCTCTCTTTTTCTCTATCTCTTTCTCTCTCTCTCTCTTTCAGTCTCTCTGTCTGTATTTATGTCTAACTGGCTGTCTGTCTGTCTGTCAGTCTGTCTCTCACTTTCTCTCTCTCTCTCTCTCTCTCTCTCTCTCTCTCTCTCTCTCTCGCAATAACAACTCCCTCATGGGCCCCATCTCTCTCACTTTTCCTGTTTGTCTAGCTGTCTGTCTGTCAGTCTATTTCTCTATCGTTCTCTTTCTCTCTCCCTCTCTCTCTCTCTCTCTCTCTCTCTCTCTCTCTCTCTCTCTCTCTCTCTCTCTCTGTCTCTCTCTCATTTATTTGCTTACCGTCTATCTTCCCATTTCCGCCACGCGTCTCTCAACCCATCTTTTTAAAAATTCCCTTTTACCCCTGGCCCATTTTTTTCCAAAGCTCTGTTACTTTCTTTTTCTCTTAGTATAGAAATACCTGTCTCCATGCCTTCCTCGGGGTCTGTCTGTCGGCAATACTTCTGTCTCTTTTCCATGTATCCTATCGACATATCTGTCCTCACTTCTCATCAGTTTATTACTGTCTATATGCGAATGGAAGAGTTTTAGGAGACGTTTCGTGTTCTTAGAGTCAACAAACATAAGAAAAAGGAATCTTTCGATATGGTTATGGCAACATCATTCCAGAATCATCTGCTAAAGAAAGAAAAACTAGCAAAGTTCTTTCCCCCCAAAAGTACTGTGGTGACACAGATTCAGAAACTCGGTGTGGGAGAGTGGGAAGGGGGATGGGAAAAGAGAGGGCGTGTGGGGGGGGGGTGA